TTTTCTTCTCTACTTTCTATTTCCTACAAGAGAAGATGGATAATTTGCATGAAATTGAAAAAAAAATAAGTTGTTTGGGAAGTAATTTGTGAAGATATAAAGCTAAAAAGAGGTGGGCTCCATAAAGAAAAAAAATAGCCACTAAATAGAAAAAATTTGCATGAAATTTCAAAAAAAAAGATAAAAAATTATATTTATTAGTTATTTTTTTTGTCTCATCATCCTACTAAATAATACTTAAATATAATAAAAATATAATTTTAAAATATTAATTTTTCTCTATTTTTTAACTAATTTTATTCTACCAAATAATTATAAATTTTATCATATTTTTTATTAAATCAATTCTCACCTTTTCTTTCTCACTCTCTTTCATTCGTCCACTCTCTCCCAAGCAAGTGTAGTTAAGTGGAGATTTTCAATGAATGATCCTTTGAAAAAAAAAAAAAAAAAAGAATCGCAGTACTTAAACTTTATATTAATATCGTATACACTGACGTAGGCTTCGCTCAGTACTTCTGATAATATACTAGTATCTAGGCCTTGAGAGGTATCATGTACGTAGGGCTTTAGCCCTTTCTAGAACAAAAAATAGTTAACTACTAAAGTAATTAATTAAACCATAGTAAGTAATTAATTTCTTCCTCGTATTTCATTAAGTTAAAGACTTAGTTGTTCATAAATTAACAATATTTTATTAATGTAAAAATTTTCATAAATAAGTACATTCACTGATTTATAGTATTAATTCTCCCTAAATACAGTAATTTTTTTTTTGGGTATGTCGTATGCTCAAAAGATGTGGTTGTGTGGAGATATATATGTTTTGCGCGTCAACTACAGAAAATATTAACAGCATATATTTTTATAATACTAAATAAAGCTTATATGAATTTTATTAAATAAGGAGTGCAAATTATTTTTAAAAAAATCAAACCAATAATTATGATCGTGACCAAAAGAGATGTTTAATTTATAGCTGCTTTTCCTCTCTTTTTTCCCTTATTACTTATTAGTTTCTGCTGGCTGGTGCTTTAAATTGTGGTCTACAATCTGCATTCGCGTTATGGCTGCGCATAAATTATTCACATGTCTGCAATATCAAGCATGATGACATAACAGTAACCGCAATTTTTATTAACTGTACCAAAATAAGAAAAATCCATGAAATTGCGCTTTCATGCGATGGCAACCTTTCAGTGGTGAATAGAACAAAGAGAGTAACAAGCATCAACAAGTACTTCCAGGAACAACTGATCAGCACAAGCTTCTGTTATGTGGTGCGTATCCACTTATTCATTGCAGCAGCACCAAGTTCCTTGTCTTTATCTTTCACTGCATAATCCTTAATAAGCCTTACCATTTTCCACGTCACTTTCAATGTCCAAACCATTCTTGTCTTTGTTTCTGTCATTTATATGATATAAACTACATTGAACCATAATATTTCTCCTGCAATTTGATGTTGAATTAGCTTCATATGTTTCTGTTGAATTAGCTTCACAAACCTCACTAGTGGCTTAGCTCCATCAGTTGTTCTTAACTTTCACAATAGGTGCTTCTTCAAGAAGAATGTTGTGTCTTATGGTAACAAATACATGACACCCAGATGCAGCATCTCATCATTCAGGCCTGGATTTATCCAACACAAGAAGGAGACCCTTTGGTTCTACAAGTTTTTGGCTACTATTGTACATGATCATGTCATAAACCCTTGTCTCTGGACTCAAGACATGAGAGACGAGGCATTGGAGCATGCTGATCTCTATGACCGTAATATGAGAGTTGTGGATGTTGAGGGAGGAACTGCATTCACCACTCTTGGTATAGTGAAGCATATGGATGCTAAAAATGTAACAATTCTTGACCAGTCCCCTTACCAGCTGACCAAGCAAAAGGAAGCCTTGAAAGAATGCAAGATAATTGAGGCTGATGCGGAAGATCTTCCATTTCCAACTGATTATGCTGATCGATATATTTCTGCTGGAAGGTAACATGTGTGGTGACAATTTTTTTTCTTTGCCACTTTTTCCCACCCAAGTTTTATAATTTCACCAATTTTTCTATCCAACTTCAAACATTTATAAATTTTTCCACATTGACCTTTATTGCTATCAGGTGATTATTGATACGATATTTTAACTGTTAAGGTATCATATTAATCGTAAATTTTTCATGTTGACTACTGACATGACAAAAATGTTTTTTCCTTTTGAAGAAATTGTTACAACAATCAAGATTTGGGTTTCAGAATCTTTTATCTCGATGTTATGAGTTCTCTGGCATGGATTTGGAGTTTGGTCCTATGAGTCAAGTTTGTGGGATGATTAATTCAAATTTTACATTTAAACTGTTACTTTAGTGATATTTATAATAGGACAGTGGATAGCTGATGCCCAATTGGACTTTAAAAGATGTACTACATCTTAGTCTTATGATCATTAGACCAAAAACATTAAAATATTAACCTTCATGAATCATGACTGCTAACATCTTTGACGATATATAACTAAAGCTTAGATTCATGATCATTAGCCAAATAAATTAAAAAAAAAGACTAGTCTTCATATAGCATCTTTTTGCAAAATGGCTAATCTTATATGATTATGGTTCTTGAGTATTGAATACTGGGGTGACCGACAGCGTGGCATTAAGGAAGCATACAGAGTGCTGAGAATAGGAGGCAAAGCATGTATTATAGGTCCCGTGTAGTGTGTACCCAACTTTTTGGTTGTCTAGATTCCTTGCAGACATGTGGATGTGGATGGTGTTCCCCAAGGAGGAAGAGTATATTGAATGGTTTAAAAAGGCTGGTTTCAAAGATATCAAGTTGAAAAGGATAGGTCCAAAATGGTATCGTGGTGTACGGCGTCATGGCCTCATCATGGGTTGCTCTATAACTGGTATAAAGCCTTTATATGGGGACTCTCCTCTCAAGGTAAATGCATTTTTCCTTCTAAACACAATTACCATGATCAGATCCGTGAATCTAACAGAATAATTATTTAGTTTTCCCTACATTTTATGTTTAGTGCCATTTTGAAGTGTGATTATGCATATCTTTATGCAGCTTGGTCCAAATGTAGAGGATGCAAAGAAGCCAACACAAATCCATCGTTGTTTCTCTCGCGGTTCATTCTTGGTACAATTGCAGCTACTTACTATGTACTGGTTTCAATTTACATGTGGATCAAGGACAAAATTGTTCCAAAGGGCATGCCCATCTAAGATTTGGGTAGGATGGTCAAATTTTGGACTTGTACATCGCTAAAGTAACTATGATGGTAACATGTGATTCTTACTTGTATATAATATGTTACCATGCTAAGCCTTTAGTAGACAACCATAGACTATGTGCCAGGCTGCCCCAGCATTCGTAACAAAATATTCTTCTCCTTTTGCCTTCGGATAAGATAAGACACTGAAGACAGAGAATTGACTAAATTATAAAATGATTATTTTAGCATAATTATGTTTTGGTGATCTCCAAGAAGAGAAATATGTTTTTGATGAGTATCTTTTAAATTTTTTTATCTGCTCATTACAGAAGCACATTAGCTTTTGCTTGATCCATTCAATTTTTAAAAGTAAACTTGGATCTCTTAAACTCTTTCGTCGTTATTAGTGTGAAGCATGAATTTAATTTAAGAGAACGGTTCCTGTGATAGACATCTGTTACCACTCTTATCTACACACTTTTTATTTTTCCTGGGAAAGTGTTCTATTCAAAACATTTATTGAACGAAACCCGATATATATTGAACAGTTTTGAAAACAATTTTATAGTATGGACAAAATTTTATAATTTTTTGTACAAGAGAATCGAAAGTTTGTTACTGGACGTAATCGGTACTTCCAAACTATGACCATCGTTCCTGCACAAAATCATTCTCGTAATAAATTCTCTTCAAATTAAATGTTAATTTCCAGTAATTTTAGGAGACATTTAATACGTGACAAATCTTATGGGAATCACGAATCTTTGAAAATATAAATATTTTTATTAGTCATAAATATTTTTATAAATATTTATAAATGTTATAGTGTATAACTGATGCATTAAATTAAATAAGTAAATAAAATAACATAAGTATTAAAATTTTAGAATAAACTTAGGCAAATTTTCAAGAAACAATATTTTTTTTAAGAATAATTTTTTTTTTAAGTAACAAACCGAAATCAAACACTCCCTACATCAAATTTTTAGAAAAATAAAAACTTTATGTATATAAAACGCTTCCTTGAATAAATATTTTAACCTTATCGCTCGTGTGTGTATATAAAATGTTGATCCTCTCTTAATATTAAATATCGGGATATAATCATATTAAAATACATAGATAACTTTTTAAAAATATAATTCATAAATCATACAACCAATCATAATGTATCTTTATTATTTAATAAAAAAACAAATTTTCTCTCTAACATATACAACCACATTATATAAAACCAACAGACTACGAAAATACGAGGGCCCAATAATTGGCCAGAGTTATGTGGGAAGCAGCATTAGCCAAAGCAACTGGAATCTGCACAGAAGGTGCAGTGCAGAAGCTTCTTTTAGTAGCAAAATTAAGTTAAGAACAAACCTTGGACAAATTCTTTCTATTTTTATAAAGTTTTCAAACCAAATAATAACATGAATAATTTCATAATATTAAATAACTTTCATTAAAAAACCTTTTATTTTTATAAAGCTTTCAAACCAAATAATAACATGAATAATTTTATAATATTAAATAACTTTCATTAAAACACATATCTTACTATTCGAACAAGATTGTTTTGGTAAAAAGATACTTGTGATTTAAAAATTATATATATATATATATATATATATATATATGTATATATATATATATATATATATATGTATATACATATACACAATAGCGCGCACACAGAGCATATCTTGTGAAAATGTGAAATTCTCTCCTTACGCTTTCAGCTTATCTGAATAATAAACTTGATCTGAGAATAAAAAAGGCATCCTAATCAGATTATTGAATAACTTTTTTCTTCATAGCAAATCAAACACATTATCTTTGCTTGACTCATTGAAGTATAAATGATACAGAGAATTTAGTCCCTCGTCATATAAATTCAATACATAAAAAATGAATCTGATCCAGGGTTTCCAGCAGCCCAAGATCATGTTGGGGATTTGCCAGATACTCGCTGGGCAATCCATCCAAGACCATCATACAATCCATCTCCTGAGAGGGCACAGCAAGCCTGTATGTGCCAATCATGATCCTTGATGCTGTGAAGAGATAGTGCATCAGTGATCTCAGCAGGAGTCATAGCATCCTTGATGTCTTGTTTATTAGCAAAGACAAGAATGACAGAATGTTGTAAATCTTCATGCCCCAGCAACCTGAAAAGTTCATCCTTCATGATTGAGATCCTGGCTCTATCACTGCTGTCTATCACTGCAATCACAGCATGAGTTCCTCGGTAATATGTTGCCCATGATGTCCTCAGTCTTTCTTGTCCACCAAGATCCCAAACCTGAAATGAAAGACAAATTGGAGGGAGTAATAAATGAGTAATGCTTCAACCTGCACAGTAGTAAAACTTAAAATATTTGATACCAAATGCACCATAATACATTCATGTAGATTGATAGAAAAATCAGACCCCTCCGTTTTTTATTAGGAAGGAAAAAAAAGTAGGATGCAAAGAACTCAAAAGGTTTAAAATGCTTGCCCACACCAAAACCTAAAGAAACAGAAAAAAAAAATGCTATCCACTTCCGGCACTCTCTTATTTTTATCTTGAGAAAAAAAAATGATCAAGTATTTCTTTGTAGATGAGATTGGCTACATGAGTTAATTGATGCCAGTGCATTCTCCCCAAAACACTTGTTACTGACACAAAGCAAAGAGTACCAGTTCATACAGAAAAAAATTACAACAACATCAAATACCAAAATTGTGTAGAGAATCAAGGGTAGCCAAGCTTTAGCCAGTATTTGGAAAAACATTTGCATCTTTACAAGCTCACTCAGTGGATGCAGACAAGCTTCATTTATTGTATCCACGTGTTTGACAAAATTGTAAAGAATAAATTTTGTGCTTCGAACCACAATTCTGACATGCCACTTTTGTAGTGAAAAGAAATACCAGTATGTCCATAAATCAATACTAGAATATTACTTTAATGGCATTTATATATCTATATTAGGATGGATGGGCAAGTTTAATGTCACAAAAATGAGCGTCACAATGGATGAGTGGTAAGTGGTCACACTAGACAAGATAAATTAGGAATACAATCATTAGAGAGAAAGCAGGGGGACCTCCTCCCATTGTAGAAAAAATGGTAAAACTTTGTCTTTGATGGTTTGGGCATATGTGGAAAAGGTTGACCAGATAGAAGATAGCCCAATAGTTAAAGGTGTGTAGAAAGTTACTAGTCAAACCATTGGGAGACATTGAGAAAGCTACTAGAGGTAAATGACCTATCTTTGCACTTAATACATGACAGAACTTAACAAAGTTGTAAGATTCATATAGCGGACTCAATGAAATGGGAAAAGGCTTAGTTGTTATTGTTGTTATATAATTACACATCTAATCATGATTATTTGAACACATTCAACCATTACTTTTATCAAAATTACTTTACAAAACCAATATCATTCAAAATCAAGTTTGCAAACACTCACCCAAACACACTTAGAAAACAGAGACATAATATGTCCAGGACAAAGTTATGCGTCTGGTCCAAGGACAATGGAAACACAATTTTCATTGAACCCTAATAGACATTGGGTCTATTTGGATAAACTTCTCTAGAAACCTTTTATAGGAGAAAAAATAAGAAAAATTGAAATAAAATTTTCCATAAACTAAAATTAGCTTATGTATGTTAAAAAAAGTTATTAGAGAAACTAATATGAGAGAACTTCTACAAATTAACTTTTGCATAAGCTAATTTAAGTTCACAGAGAAGCTTATTTCATATATATTTTTTTTTTCTTTTAGAAGAAGTACTTCTGGAGAAGCTTATTCAAATTCCAAATAGACCCATTATGGTAGAAGTAAAAAACTATTTTCCCTATGTTTTGGGATTGTTGGATGTTCTAGAGAATTTAATTAGAGTGCTGATAAATATAACTGCTTAGAGCCATTTAACTAATAAAGACCTACGAAAGACTAAGAAGAGACAAGCTCTCATACTCACATATATATTTCGCAACAACTATGACATTTAACCCTCGAAGCAAAGATCAACACAACAAAACAAAATAAACGAATAAATAAAGTAGTAAAGCGATAAGTGAAGGAACCTCAAATCGTATATTCTTGTAGACGAGCTCTTCGACGTTGCTACCGACAGTAGGGTTGGTAGTGACAACCTCACCCAGATGCAATTTATAAAGGGTTGTTGTTTTTCCAGCGTTATCCAATCCAACAACAACAATCTTATACTCTTTTGCCGGGAATAACATGAACCAGAACCTCGATATCATTGCCCCCATCCTTTATCTACTTCTAAATCAATTACCTGTACAAATACCAGACAAAACCCATCAATTGGGGACACAAAGGGTATCCGAAAATCTGATTTTCAATCAAAAAGTAACGAACTTGCGTCGGATCAAATGCCAGTTAGCAGATCAACAAAACATACAAAAATCGTGAAAAACGAAAAGATCGAACCTGGTACCGCTGCTTACAAGGAGAATCGGAGTTTGTGGGCGAAAGGGTGAATTGAAATCGTGAGACCCCCAAACTTGGAATTTTCAATTTTGTTTTGTATTTTTCAGAATGGAACGAATATTCACATCCCTGGAACGAATTAGTGCGAGTGGCCAGACACGTCAGCTATAACCAAATTTCTAAGAAAAATTCTATGGTACTCATTTTATTTGAGAAGGTACTGGTACAGTTTTTTATATTTTATATTTTTTATAATTTATTTAAATAATATTTATGATTTTTTATTTTTTTATTTTTTAAATTATTTAGTCATTTTATTTTTATTTTATATATTCTAATTTATTTGTAATAATATTATTATATATTTAAATAGTTTAATTTTAATAATTTTTTAAGTATATCTTTTTGTCTTTTTGTTTTAAATTTTTTAATTTCTATATTGTAATTTTAATAATTTTTTATTTCTACTATTTATTAAAAAAAAATTTAATATTTTATAATATTATTGAAATCTTATAATTTTAATCTTTATAATTTTATCTTACTTTTTATTTTATAAGTATAAGTTGAATTATTCATTTTATAAATAAATTAATTTTTCTTAAATCTTTTATGAATTTTTATATAAGAAAATGTATTGAAATCCCTTAATCTTTAAGGGTACCGTAGCAACTCCCAATTTTTAATCATCTACTGTTCATAATTTTAATTTATCTTTTTCAAGAGTTATCATTTAAAATATTTTTATACTTTTTTTTCTATATTAAATTTCACCATGTCAAAGACAGTTTTTAATCTACAATATCAAAAATAAAATTTTAAATTAGTAAAATGTCATTTTTAATTTCTAATCTTGGATCTATATTAATTCTTGAAATTTTAAAAAATAAATATATTTTTATTTCATGTAAAATGAGCAAAAATTGATTTTTATTCTTATAATTTTTTTAAAATTTTCTTTGCTATGAAATTTAAAATTATAGTATTTAGTCTTGTTATTATATTATTATTTTTAATTGCTTATTTATTTATTAAAAGATTAAGTGACAATTATAAATTTATATTATGTTAGTATGTAATAATTCTAAAAATAAATTGGATAGGTCTTTAAAATAAATAATAATTATCTATTTAAAATCACTATTAGAAAAAAATAATGATTTAAAATTTCAAAAAAATATAAAAGTATTTCACAAGGATTAAAAATATTTTTTACAAATTCTAGAATATAAAAAATGAAAAAAAAAATTAAAAAGGCCAAAATCAAAACTTCTTCATTTTTCAAAAATTAAAAATATATTTAAACCTTAAACAAATTGTTAAATAAGTATATAAAACTACAAATTAACAATTATGTTAATTAAAAATTCAGATATGATATTAAACAGTTAAATTTTAGGAGATTATTTGATATTTAGAAGCTTATATATATATATATATATATATATAATATATATATATATATATATTATTAATTTCAGAGATCCATATAACAATGTTTATCGCTGTCCAAAATTTTTTTATACATTTACTCATTTTAAAATATAAAATACCATATATAAGTTACTTAATATATCATTCGATTTTGTCATGTCACACTTTACTTAAATATATTTTTAAGGAAAATATTAGAAACAATCTTTCTAACACTCTTAATCAATACTCTTTATACTATTATTTGAAAATTAAAGATTTTAATAAATCTCACTAATCGGAGCCGTATCCAGTCAAATAAAATAATTAAATGCAGTACTAGAAAGTTGTCCTAGGTCGTCTTCCAATGACCATTTTTCTCTGTCAAAGGCTTAAATACGAAGTGAGAAGGGGGGGTTTGGTTTAGATTTTTTTAGTTTATAACACAATAAAACACAGATAACACAGCAAGTAAAATAGATTAGCTCCTTGTTCGGACTGTAACTCTCTTATCCTTGGTTCACAATGAGATTACTCTATTAACTACTTAATCCTTGTTCCATCCGAGTTAACCAACTAAGCGAAGATTAACTCAAGATTTCCCTGCACGTAGGGACGGAGCCAGGATTTCAATACTGGGGGGCCGAGAATAAATAATATATAATTTATAATAAATGAAAATTAAAGTATCAAAAGCATATAAAAAAAAATATAAAAAAAAATTAAAATTGTTGGGGGGGCCGTGGCACCCGTAGGTCCCCCCTTGGCTCCGTCCTTGCCTACACGAATTAAGCAAACTTATACAACATTAACCTCTTCACAAATTAAGCAATTGTGGCATTGAGCACATCCCATTAAGCATGGACACGTTGATACAGAGGTTAAATGAAAAATGACCAAGTAGAACAGAGATATACAAACATACCCAACCTCAAACAGAGATTACAATCCATAACAAGAAGCCAACCCCAAGGATTTTAGCCTTCCATTAAAACAGAAGCAGATACAGAAACGAAAATGCAAGGATAGGAGAGCAAAACGAAAATGGAAAATCTATATTCTTCAATGCAAGGGTTCAGATACAAAACGTAAACTGCAGATAAGAGGAGAGGAGAGCAAAACGTAAAACTGCAGCTCTAAGAGAGAAAAACGTAAAAAAAACAAAGATAAGGAAGGAAGGTAACGTGGTCACATCAGATGTTTTTGTTAGTGGCTGTCCTAGGACCCTAAAAACCCTATAAGAGTCAAAATGGGCCCCAAGTCAGGTTTGACCCGAAAATACATAAAATAAACGAAAAATAAAATAAAACAAAATGTTGATGTGGCGCTGATGTGGTGCTGACGTGGCATTTATCTATTGAAGTCCAAGAATAATATCCAAGCCCAAAAATGCTTCATAATTAACTTGAAAATAATTAATAGACAAAAATTAGACCAAGTGAATTAAAATTAATTAAAATTTGAATTACTGGCCCAATGAAACCCAAACAGTGAAACTATGCAATTAATAAGCGATTAAACTCAAATCAATAATTAAAATAAGTACAGAAAGATAAATAAATAGGGGAAAATAATTATTCATCACTCACCATAAAATATGAAAAATTTTATTAAATGAGATGCATGGTCATTTTTTTTTAATTTTAAAAAATTTAAGTAAAAAATAAGTTGTAGAAAGAATATATTAAATAGAGTGTTTTCTCTATTTTTAATCCCTTATGTACCTATACTAGTATACGTGAGAAATCTTGTTGCTTAAGTAGGAGCCCTATGAGTTTTTGCACTTATAATCTTCTTATTTGATATTCTTTTTAACTTTTGATCACACTTATAAACAAGGACGGAGCCAAGGGGGGACCTACGGGTGCCATAATTTTTAAATTATCTTCCTTCTCCCAATTTCCTTTCTTTTCAATTTATCATGCATGCTTTCCTACCCAATTAATCATTTTTTCAATTAATCTTCTTTTTTCTTTTTTAAGTATACCATGAACAAAAGACAAAGAAATTAACATATATTATTTAATCTATTTTTTGAAAAGCAAGATTTTGTACATAAAATATGTAAATATTATAATTGGCTTATTTTTTTTCCTGTAAAAGTAATACTTTTTTACATATCATAACTAACGTTTTATTTTTTGTTGTTGATAAAGTATAATAACTAACATTTCAACGTACAAAACTTATGCATAGTTGTAGTTGATGCCATTTTGTATCATAGTAAGAACACAAGTACTTGGATCTAATGAAGCCACGATGGCATCTTGGTTATCATTCGTCTTGGTTCTGAAAGTTCTAAAATGATGTCGTTTTGGTGGGTGCATTAAACTTTCTTACTATTAGACATCACATTCATTGTTAATTAGCTTTGTCCCTTGTCTCCAAAGTAATGTGACTTAAGCCGTTAAGCGAGCATTATCAATTATGAATGTGCAACATGTTTGACTTAATTCCGGAAGTAAATAAAAGCAAATATCTTTCTTGTTTAACATATGGAGGTGTTCAACGACACTCCCTCTCACGCTGTACCGTACAATTTAAAATAAATTATTATAATTAAAAATACATTATTAGTGAATTTTTTTGTACAATTAACTATAGGTGTTCAAAACTAAAAATCAAAAACTAAATAAAAGGCTGAAAAACCAAAAAGAAACAAAAAACTAAATAATCATAATTTTATTGGATTTTTTTATTTTATCAAATCGCACAATTTGATTCAATTTACAATTTAAAGTTGTAAAATCAACTCAAAATAAACTGAATCCAACTTATGTATTAATATATGTTTTTTCTCATATATATATATATATATATATATATATATATACTATATGTATATATGATAATGAGAAAGATTTTTTCTTTATTTGAAATTTTCTAAAATATTTCCATTTTAATAAAAAATTAGTGCGAGAACTAATCTTAGGTTTTGGCCAATCTATTGTCAAACGTAGGTTTGATGTAAAAACAAAATGGTGGGATCCCTCTGTTGGTATTGTCATTAGTCATTTTGGTCGGATATCATATCATTGTGAAATTATTGCTCTGTCGCCAACAATTTTTGGAAGCCATTTCAATCACATGTAACTCAATATCCAATCCAATGCATTTGGCACTTGGTGTAACATTCATTGAATGCTAACTGCAAATACACGAGTTTTAAATATACAATTTCTACATATAACAAGCTTATTTTCGATTTATTACATTTTGAAGTTGTTTAAAAGATTGTTTATTATTAGTTTATTACTAGTTTGATTAGGAAGTTGGTCATGTGGTGTAGAGAATTTTTTTTCCCATGTTCATTATTTTATTTTATATGCATACAATTTTAATTAAGATTAATTCAGCAAAGTTTTTTTTTTTAATTTTTAAATTATCTTCCTTCTCCCAATTTCCTTTCTTTTCAATTTATCATGCATGCTTTCCTACCCAATTAATCATTTTTTCAATTAATCTTCTTTTTTCTTTTTTAAGTATACCATGAACAAAAGACAAAGAAATTAACATATATTATTTAATCTATTTTTTGAAAAGCAAGATTTTGTACATAAAATATGTAAATATTATAATTGGCTTATTTTTTTTCCTGTAAAAGTAATACTTTTTTACATATCATAACTAACGTTTTATTTTTTGTTGTTGATAAAGTATAATAACTAACATTTCAACGTACAAAACTTATGCATAGTTGTAGTTGATGCCATTTTGTATCATAGTAAGAACACAAGTACTTGGA